TTACTTTGTAGCTTGTTTCATTGTTCTAAAAGGATCTGAAAGAGTCAAAGAGAAGCAACTAGAAAATTGTCAGGTTATTGTGTTAGTAGCATTGTGAAGTTATAATCCTAAGTTTTGATCTCATTTGTCAAATCTTGATTTGCTAATTATAAGAAACAACGAATTTTGTTCAAAGATTCCAAAATTTACAGTGCAAACACTAATATTAGAGGGTCATGATATTGGTTTTGTGGAGGATTTGCAGTGGTTTGATGAGTAGAGAGACAGAGAGAAAGGAATAGTTGAAGAAGACAGGCTTTAGAAAATTAAGGTTAGGTTATAACAAGCCAAAACAACACCGTTTTGAACATGCTAACCCAACTTGGGTTAGTTAACTTCTATGGGTCCCACATTTATTATATTATATTATCAATTTGTGACTGAATTTGTAATTAAGGTGCAATTTTTACACAAGTTTAAAATTGGGGTGTTTTGGGGGTTAAGTTCATTTTAGGGTGTGATTATTACACAAGTTTAAAATTGGGGTGTTTTGGGGGTTAAGTTCATTTTAGGGTGCACAAGTTTAAAATTGGGGTGTTTTGGGGGTTAAGTTCATTTTAGGGTGTGATTATTACACAAGTTTAAAATTGGGGTGTTTTGGGGGTTAAGTTCATTTTAGGGTGCGATTATTACAAGTCGTAAAATTGGGGGTATTTGGAATGTTTTAGCAGAGTTATTGTGGTATCTGGATTTCTATAAGGTGAGATTCTTAACGAATCATACTCTTTTGCACGAGCTTTATCTCTCTCGGTTTCGCTCTCTCTCTACATTACACACTTCTTTCTCTGAACTTTCAATTAAGGTACCATAGGAATTAAAAAGCTTAAATAGTTTCGATTACTGGTATTTGTTTTCTCTTTTGTTTTTCATATGAATAGTTTTATGCAATTTTTATTTAAATATCCAATTAACTTGTAATGATGAATTATGGAAGGAGTATATGGTCAAGCATGATTTTTCCTTTTTTTACTAATGAATTGCTTGATTCCAAGAACTTTTTGATGAATTCTCGTTTTTCATTTATTATTATTGTGTTTGGAATGATAAATTTCTTCAACTTTAGGGTTTGAACTCTGAATTCTGATATAGAAATGCTGCTATATTGGCTTTTCCATTGTTGGAAGTAATTCATTTATTCTTTATTTGAGCCTAGTGATGCTCCTTTTAATGTTATAGTTGGAGAGCTACATTTGTTTTGTGTATGTGGTGAAAAGCTGGAAATTAAATTCTTTTGCATATGAACTATCAATTATATTATTACTCTGACTCTAACCAGCCTATATGCTTGCTCACTTGACTTCCCTCATAGGAAACTAGCTGGAATTTTTAAGCATTTCATGGACCACTGCCAAGAAAGCTGTATGATGATCCATTAAATTAAAAATATTTTGTATTTTTGCAGATTGAGGATAAAGAACTGAAAATTTTGCAGGGGAACAACCTAGAAATCTAAGCAATAGGCACCAGGGTGGCTAACCCAAAGTGCATGATTTTGAAACAGTCCTTGTAGGAAGGCTATCATTTATGATGATGATAATGAAGTTGATGAGATTGATGGTGGAACTGGGACAGGCTCTGCATTTCATTTACTCTCGCGAGTTTTGGAGGATGGCAGTGTTTTGGACAATCTCTCTTGTTGCTTCATATTTGCATCTGTTTTTCCAGAGGATATTTAGTCAGAGTTCTAATGCCTACCCCCACTCCCTTCCCCCAAAAAGTATGCTTAGGAGACCTGTTTGCATTGTTACTGGTGTAAGTGATCTATCCTCGCATTCGACTAGAAACAGTGGTTTATATATGTGCGCACAAACAAATATATATCCACAGATAACCCCACAAATTTTTACTTATGAATATATGGTCCTTTTTGTTTTAATCATTGTTATAGGCAACATCTGGTTTGGGTGCTGCTGCTGCTTATGGCCTCTCAAGGAAAGGCTTTTTTGTTGTTCTTGGTACTCTGCCCATCTCTCTTCAATTCTTATTTTACTTTATTTGTTTGTAAAGCTACTTACAATGATAATCTGATAGTTAATTGACCTCCAACATCCACATGATATTATGGTAATCTATCTGACAATTAACAGGCATTCTTTATTTGTTCTAGATGTCACCTATTCTGTAAGTTGTAAGCACTTTCTGTTAATGAAGCTTTGCTATTTTGAAACTCTTCTAGAATGCTTTATTTTTGCTTATCACCCAAAGTCATAATAAACTTATGATATTTGACAAAATAATTCACTTCTGAAAGTTAGTTATTTATCTCATTGTGGTAGTTCACTTCATCTTTGAACTAGAAACAATTCTTCTATAGGTTGTGTAAACCATAAGTGAACTCATTCTTTCTGCAGTTGGACGGTCATCCAAATTGTTATATAAGGTATACTCATTCAATTAGCTCTCCTGTATGGTCATGCTTCATATTAAAGTTCTCTTTATGTTTCCTGACACTATTTTGTGTGATAGACTGTTGAGAGGATAAAAGCACAGAATAGGGATGCCCAACTCAAAGCTTTCGACGTTGACCTATCATCTTTTCAATCAATCCTAAAGTTCAGAGTTTCATTAGAGAAATGGCTCTTGGATTCAGATATGCATTCTTCCATCCAACTCCTGGTCAACAATGCTGGGATACTGGCGACATCACATCGTACGACAGCTGATGGCTATGATCAGTAATGTCTCCCTGAATTTTTATATTCAATGAGGAGTCTTCTTTAATGCGTTAGGATAGCTCTCTTCCTTTCTGTTTCTTCTTCTTCCAGCTAGCCACCAAAAGAATGTTTTCATCCTTTTATTTTGTCTTTTTTTCCTCTATTTTGGACCTTTATCAGGTCTGTGTCAAAAGATACTAGGGCTGTTAAATATGCCCAACTTTACCACTTGCATGTCGAATTTCAACGTCAATGATTCCTTACATCCTAAAAGAGGTCGTCTTGCAATATGCTGATGAGTTCCCTCGAGCCACTTTAGCCACATTTGAACCTCATGGGGCCAAAGCACCCTCACATCAAATTATTTTTTCCAAATTACAGGACTGCCCTTATTTAATAACCTTCAGTTACTGATTCAGCTGGAATTTCACTGTAGGCTAAAATTGCAAACAAATCTCAATGTTCAAATGATAAGTTATAAATAAAAAAGAATTGGCTAGAATTTGATTAAATGCTGTGATGCACGGAAACTCCTTGCCATGGACGTTTCCACACTTCGGAAACATTTTCCCGTGTCTGTTTCTCTGTATAAAATACTGTTTTCTGTGTAAAATCATATTTTAAATGTCGTTTCCCCGTATTATTTTCACGTTTCAATCTTTCTTCGTTTTCGTTTCCATGCAACATAGATTAAATTCTTAAAATACTAAATGTTTTTGGAAATCAGGCCTTTTGTACAAAACACAGACTGCTTTACAAACTAGAAATGCAAATGTTTGTTTGTCCTTATTGATTCAATGGAGTTTTTCTTACTAATGTTACTGGTTATTTCCAGGATGATGGCTACAAATTATATGGGCGCATTCTCCCTGACCAAATTTCTACTACCACTTATCAGAAACAGCCCTGTTGGTTCAAGGATAGTGAATGTAACATCCTTTACACATCGAAGTGGTATGAACTTTTCTAATCACTAGTATAGCACATTTGTAGTGTATGAGGTGGTTTATTATTATTATTTATTTATTTTTATCATTTCATCTATAAAACTTTGTTTGTATCAGCTACTGTTTGTCATCTGTTCAATAAAGGGGATTATGCTATCAGATGGTGTGCTTAATATAATATCATTTTTCACATGGACCTCTTTTGATTGGGATATTTCTTGTGTTCTTAGATCATTAGTTTTAATCAATATAGAACCACTGTTTGGTTTTGAATAAAGTTCTTCACAGGCATTTGGTATAAAACATAATTGCTTTAGCTCCTTTTTCTTTAGTGTTTAATATGCAGGTTGACAAGGAAACTGTTTCTGGAAGGTGCTTCTGGACTCCAAAACAATATCCATATGCTCATATCTATCAGTACTCCAAGTGTAAGCCGTAGCTGTCACATAATTTGCTACTGGGTTATCTTCTATATAATTTATAATAATCACACGTGGTGTTTTAGTGTGTATACTGCTGTTCTCATACCAACTTCATCAGCAACTTCAGTTGATGGATAAACCTTGTCAAGTCTCTGTCAAGTATGTGTTTTATGACCTTGCATTTTTAATTTATGAATCAATATTCATAATTTGTAGGAAATTATTTCTTGAATAGATTGTTGCCTATGCTTGAATGCAATCACTTATCCTTATTTCCTTCTCGTATGATTTGTACATCAATTAGTTGGTTTATGTTTTTTTGTTTGTCATCTACCCTATCAATTTGTATACTTACAGATAACCCATCTTCTCATACATAATCAATTACTTTTACTAATATACTGTACTTAAAACATTTTGGAACTTCTTCTTCTCTTCAGTGATATTGGTAATACTTCAAAATATTTAGTCCTATTGTTCATGATTGTTTCATCCTCATATGATCACTTTGCTTTTGGTGCTGCTTCATACACAGTGCTGCAGATCCTGGAGCCGTGGAAACCAATCTCATGCGGGAAGTTCCCTCCTGTCTTTCCCGTCTGGCATTCAGAATATTGAAACTTCTAGGCCTTTTGCAGTCTCCAGATATTGGTGCATGCTCTATTCTTGATGCTGCCCTTGCCCCACCAGTAAGTTATCCCATGAAAGTTGGTGTTTTTTTCTTTCTTTATTTTTTCTCCGACATTAATTAAAAGGACAATGTTGAAGATTCTGTGTTTTTTAGTAAAATTTCATTTTCTATGTTAATCTTTTAATGTCTCTCAGGAAATATCCGGAGAATACTTTTTTGGTGGGAAGGGCAGGACTTTGAACTCTTCTAAACTTTCATACAGTGTCGACCTTGCAGAGAAACTTTGGACCACTTCATGCGATCTCTTTGAAGAGTTACAGCTTGCTTCCATGGAAAAAGAAAGATAATCTTGTGAACCATGGAAAGAAGATATAATTTTGTGGAGGCAAAGAACATAGATGGAGAAAGAAATTATTGCTTCTAATGGTAGCATCCTTTGCCTTTTGTTCAATTGCAACTACGGAGCATGTGGTTCAACACCAAGGTAGAATTCATTATGCCTTCAAATACCGAAAATTATTTGAAATTGTTAGAATTATATCTTAAAAATTAAAAAAAAAAAAATTTATTCGGTAAAAAATTCCTATTATGTTTTTAACTTGCCAAGCGAGTTTTAAGTTTTTGTAAATATGGAGATTATTTAAGGATTAAAGGGTTTATTAGTTATTGCTTTTAGTTCAATGGCTTATTCCTTCTTGTTTGGAGAAAGTTTGTGTTAGAAAAAATTTAATATACTAGGTTGAAAGATGTAATAATTATCTTTTATTATCGCCTTATTGTCCATTTAGTTTGAGAGTATTTTACTATTTTGGCATTTGATTTTATATTTTCTTTTGGATTGGATACTAATTTAAAGAACTATTTATTGCATTTGTAATTTCACTGTGATGAATTGTTTTTCTCTTTAGGCCATGTTTGATATGGTGTAAACAACCATGTAATGGAATGAGAATTATATTACCTGATTTAATATTCATTTCATTAAAAAACACATGTATTATCGATTATATTAAGCACATGTAATATAAATTATATCAAGTTATTCCAATAAAAATTCTATCATTCAAAGCTATTTAACACTACTACAACCACCATTATCGTTTCACCACCACTTTGACCACTTTAGCCACCACTACCATCACCGCTCCACCATCACTACCACCACCATTGTGCTACCACTACCATAACCACTCAATCACTGCTTCACCGCCCTTTCCACGACCTCAACCACCAAACAAACATAGTAATGTAATCTTAATTACATTACATGTTTACAAATAAACAAAAATATATAATGGTAATTAATTCCATAGATTTTTTCAATTATTTTACTAAATATAATAATGGAATTTTAATTACATTTCATTTCATTATATTTTTCATTGGATTACATTTTTTATTACATTACATAATGTACTGTTTACATTGATTATTTTTCTATCTTTTCTTTTTGCTGGTGAGTTTAGTTTACTTTGTATGTCCAAACTTAAATATGACATTTAACCTTCGTATTTAGTAGCGGTTTTCCAACTTCTGTGTTTTCAAATTTCATGATTATTATAATAAAAAAATACGCATACTATGTATTTTTATTGTCTTTTGTTACAATTTTGATATTATTTATTTATTTTTATTTATATTCGACTCATAATTTATATACTTAGACAAGTACTTTGGTTGAGTTGATGAACTAGTTATAAAATGGAAATGATATATTTAATAATTTAAAATTGATTGATTCAATTAATCACTTTTTTTTTTTTTTTTCAGTTTGATTCTTTTCAATGTTCGATTGGTAATATCTAGTTTTGTTGTTTTAATCACCTTGGCTTCCTTGAATTGATGAATATATCATTTTTGAATATTTGATTAAAGATAATTAAATGATGCTTGTTCAAGGAATATTTAATATGTTCTAAATTTTAATTATAAAATTTCACAAGAGTTTCTAACTGCTTTTAGGAATGACCATCGGTTCAGATCAAATCAAAAATTAAGTCGTAATCAAATCATTTTGAACATAAACTAGAAGTAAACTGAAATCATAAGTTTAGAATTTTGAACCTGAAATCAGCATTTCAAGGTTTATATTAATGTTAAAAAATAACTTAAAATGAGCCGAAACCGGTGGTTAATTAATAGTTCTAGTCTGTTTTGAATATTTTGAAATATTTATAATTACTTACTTTATTTTTTATGTCACTATAAATCTAAATTAAATTTGTTGCAACCTGATATATTTGACTTAAAAAGTTAGTGTCTAAAAAAGTAAAAATGAAAAAAAGTGGAACATGTAATATAAAATGCTTAATACGAATGAAAATTTAACGTATTCAAAATTTTATTATTTAAAATATTTTCAAATTTTAGTAACAATTTATTTAATTAATAACATTTAGATAAATAAAATTATGATTTATTTGATTATTTTATATTTATTTAAAAGTTAATGGATTTTATTTTTCATGTGAATATGAGCATTTTTTAAAAATTGTTTATAATAAAATTTACTAAATATTTTCTCTAATTTACATTAATTTTTTTCTAGAAAAAAAAAAGACAATTCTAAAAACGAATTTCTATTATTTAAAAAAAAAAAAAAGGAATAAGTGTATCGTCAGAACTGCAACCGGAACTGGCAATACCTAACTGCTGTTGGCAAAAGTATCCAAACAAGACAAACGAGAAACTCAATGCCAACGTTTTGCATAATTGCCCATTTTCAAGGGAGGGTTTCAAACTTTCGCTGTGTGGGTGTGCTGTGAGCCAAATTATTGCATTTCCTGAAAATGAATACTCCAGTGGGGCTTCCGTTTTTACTTACATTGCCACAAAAGGCATACTATGTTTAGTAATAATGAGCATGATAAATTCATGCAAGTTGCAGAAGCTCTTTACGATTCCGTGGTTTATTTAAATAAGAGATTTTCCACTTGCAAATCAACAAATAATGTGTGCATCCCCTGAGTTCAGGAACCACCGGCCAAATTAACCCCAGTGGAGCATGTATAGTGCTAGAAATGAAACATCGAATTCACACAAACTTGCAAACTTAGTTCTCAGGAAACGCATTATCTATCTGCTCTCATATTTTGCGGTTAGATTAGATGAAGCATAGAACAAACATGAAAACTTGAGTTGATATAAATTGAAGATGGGATGATCAATAAATATGAGTCTCCATTTTTTCCTACATAATACACTATTACATACAACAATACCTGCAATCATTTCGAGTAAACATCCCAATTACTATGGTATTCTCTCACCTATGTTTACGACTAATAGTTTAAAAAGAGGGGACCCTGAAAAACCCACTCAACGAAATTTCGTTTCAGGTTAGAGAAACCCAAATCCACCATTCCACCAAGATCCAAATGATAATCCGTCTGTGGTATAGTCTAGAAGTTGAAGAACTGGTATCAGTAACACCAACAAGAAACTTGCAATCACCAACAGATGGGTCTAGGAATGTAACCATACCAAGCCCATCGAAATCGCAGCTTTGTTCATTCTGGTTCTTGAGTTGATAGTAACTGTTGAATGCATAAGAGATATTTCCCTTTGCTCCGATTTCGTTGCATGATCCCCCATAATTGAGCGTTGTGCAATCTGCAACACTACAGGCAATTCTCAAGTGATTTGCAACATCAGACAGATCTTTGGTAGGATCTGCTACACACCATCTAGATGGGAGATACTCGACATTCTTTGCATTCTTCAATTCTTTGTTGCCCAAACCAAGGTTCAACGGATATTTAGCCTGACCATCGAATGAGAAAATCCCCCAATGCCGCTCAAAATTTCCAGGAAGTACACTCTTTGCCCCTTCATCGAGTAGGCTGAAAAGGTAAATATCCATGGGAGGAGCATTTGGCCTAAGTGGGGTCCCTTTGTTACTTAGCACATGATATATGAGGCCCTGATTGAAAGCCTTGGCGGCAGAGATATTCGCACTGATGGCTCCATCTGTAGGCCAACCCACTTCCCCAATAACTATAGGCATCTGACCGTATCCAATTTTGCTGAGGGCTGCAACTAAAGTGTCAAAATTCCCATCAAATGCATTATTGTAAACATTAGGCCCATCTGTAACAGGATGAGTACTCCCATAAAAAAATGCATAATCTTGTGGGAAGTCTGTGCTCCCATAGAGACTAAGAAATGGGTAAATATTGACGACAAAAGGCGATCCATTTGAGTTGAGGAAGGAAACAACTTGAGTCATTATTTCAGTTAATTCCGGCCGGAATGCCCCTTGAGAAGGGAGAGATGATTCATATGCATCAGCATTGCACGGGACCACTAGCTTTACATAGCCAGCAAGATTTGCTTTAGATAAAGACTGCTGTAGATTGACCATGGCAGGGTATACATACGACTGATATTGACCAGAGTAACTTGAGAGGAATGGCTCATTTCCCACAGCAACATACCTACAATCATGGCAAGAAGAGAAAATACATGAGAAACATGTAACTCATGAAATAAATAGAATATTATTTAAGATCTTAGATTTGGAATTTCAAAGAAACTGTCCTTAGATGGGCTCTCAAGGAAAAAAAAAAAAAAAAAAAAAAAAAGCAGCTGGGAAACCACTAGCTTTACATAGCCAGCAAGATTTGCTTTAGATACAGACTGGCTGAGAATTGACATGGCAGGTATACAACGACTGATATTGGACCAGAGTAACTTGAAGAGGAATGGCTCATTTCCCACAGCAACATACCTACAACATGGCAAGAAGAGAAATCATGAGAAACATGTAATCATGAAATAAGATAGAATATTATTCTAAGCATCTTAGATTTTGGGAATTCTAAAGAAAACTGTCCTTAGATGGGCCTCTTCAGAAGGAAAAAAAAAAAAAAAAAACAAATCTACAGAAAGAACTTCCCAAAAAAAAAAAAAAAAAAAAAACAAATTCTTACGAAAGAACTCTGAGCTATTTGGCTTCTTAAATACAAGATTCCAGAACCACACGCTAAATCATATCTCGCAAATGTGAACCTAACTTGATGTATAGCCACTTAAACTCCCATAGCCTTTGATATAGCATTGTTAATCAATCACTCCTTCACATACAGCATTTAGGAAACAATTTAGCATATAGAGTAGAAACATCTTACACAGGTGAAAAATCTCTCCTCTCTCAAACAAAGAAACCATGATGAGCAACAGTAACATCGTTTGCAAAAAATATAACTAATGTTTACAGGAACACAGAAAGAAATATAACTCTCTCCCCACCCACCGCACACATAGTCAGATAAATATGCACACAGACAAGCAAGAATATATTTAACAATTCTCTTCTTTTTCTTAGATATTATATGTCAACGAAACAACTTATTAAAGATAGGCAGACACCATATACCATCAGACGAGCAATGCAGTCTATCCTAGGAGGACGAGCTGTGCTATCTGGCATAGGAAGTCCGCATAGCAACCCACAGCTTTCATAGACAAGACAATTAATTGTTGAGGAAGTGGAACAAACCTCAGCTGCATAGGACTATAAGAAGTTCAAACTGAGGAAACGCTATAAAAAATAAAGTCCATTAAACAAAAACATTCAATTGCAATTACCAAAAATCTATTTTGTGCACAACTGCGTATGAAAAGCTATTTCATCTAGACTAAGATTAAATAATATCATTTCTGTTTCTGGTTTTTCTAAACTAAAAGTTTGTTTCCGGAAATCAAGCTGAGAAAACAAGCAAAAATCATATTTTTTAACCAGTTTTTCTGTTTTAAAACACCAAATAATAATAAATAAATTTGAGAGATCTTTTTGTCAAATTTGACAACCAAAAACCAAAAACAACAACAATATCAAACGGGCTATAAGTAATTGACTAATTTGCCTACACATTTATTGTAATGATGACCTAATTGACCAAACTATTCAATAAAAATCAACCAATGAGGTTTGTATCGATGTTACTGAATCGTTGCATAAGTTGTGAAGTTAAAAGTTCAAACCCCTGAAGTTGGAGCCAAGTTAACCAAAAAAGCACCAATGTGCACCAAGAGTACACATCAAAGGAGATTTGCTTATATAAAGAGCAACCAGAATCAATTAAAAACCAAATCAAAGAGAAATTAGCTTGTGCTTACTCTAACATATAAAGTGTTTCTCCTCCCTCAGATTCATCTTCCAATTTTAAAGCATTTGTTCGTAACTTTTTTTGCAATATATTTCCCAAAACTGTTAATCATTTTGGTGTTAGTTAGAAATCTAAGGCCTGAATTCTCACATATAGTACGCACACAGACAAACATAATCAAAGTATTACCCAAGAGGTATAAATATCAGCAGTCTCACTTTATAAGCAGCATAAAAATCAAATAAACTAATTCTATACTCAAAACAAAAACAAGACAAAAAGCAAGATCCAAAGATTTGCATTTCCTGACCCTTTTCAGCAATCAAACGGACCAACAGCAAATCCCACATTAAAAGAATAGGAAATTTAAAAAAAATAATAAAAAGAAAATAGAAGCAGCAAAATACAGGGAAGAGAGAATAACCTGATATCAACACCACCTTTTACCATATATCTTGAAACATTTTGGCGAACCCACAAATCAGAAACAGCAGTAGAAGAGCTAATAGGAGCCAACATATCATTTTGTATCCCAACCATAACTTGAATACCACTTCCCATTAAACTTCTCATAACTTCTGGGTCTGCATCAAACAGCTTCACCTTCTCTATCTTATTGTCTTTTAACAGATCCACCACTGTAGAAGGCTTCAGCTTGTGAAACGACACCGTTCCCCAGTTCACTCCTATTGCTGATTCTCCCAATATAAAGGAGGCTAAAAGCAGTATTGCCATATAAAGAAAAACTACTTTCCAGCCTGAGCCTGCCATTTTTGTAATTGTTCTGTACGGATTCCCTGCAGTCACCCACTTATATCCATCCCACATACAGTGGGTTAGTGGTTGCTGGTGGCGGTGGCGGTGGCGGTGGCAATGGCGGTGCTGCTTATGTAGTGGTGGTGAATGGGAGTGTGACAAGTGAGAAAAGAGCTAAATTTATAGCGTGTGGATTTAGGAGTGCTTATTAAATAAAGCAATATAACCGCTAAAAGAGTAAAGTGTAAGAATCCATCTGATAGGCATTATTATTATTATTTATTAGTATCTCGGTTAAATTAGTTGTTGAAATATCTGAATTACCCTCTAACAGGAGAAACAAGTGTCATATCTTCTGGGAGACACTCGTCCTTTTCTACGGTCAATATTAACTTATTGAAAAGGAGTCTGTGTCTCCCTACTCAGTAAGCAAATTGGTAGTTTTTAACTTTTTATAAAGGCATCAAATTCACGCACCAAAGCGCTCCAATTGAACTAAATCAATTTAAATTAAATCAAAATTACGATTGTAATTCGGTTAGTAATGCAAGCTGAATATATAGAAGCTGAATATATAGAAAGAATATAGAAAGAATTTTCAAGTTTGATCTGTACGGAGAAGCGAATAACTTTAACTGTAATTATAAAAAAAAAAAATCAAATTAAGAGATTTCATTCAATAATTGTGTTTATATATATTTTTTTAATTTGATCCTCAAATGTAGTGTGGAAAATTAGTTTTTACATTTGAAGTTTAATTTTCTTTTCCAAAAAACGTGATAATTCAAGTTTATTAAAATTACTTTTCTTAAAATCTAAATATTCTTTATAAAATTGTGGATTTCAATAACAAAAAACCTTCATTCAATTAGTAAACCCAAACATTTTCTTGAACAATTTGAGTTGTGAATTTTCAAAATTGCACTAACTAAATCTTTGATTCTTATTTTACAACAACAACAATAATGAATAATCATATTCTAATCCAAAATTACTATTCCAACAAAAAGGAAATAATCTCAAAATTAATATCATATATAGAAAAAAAGAAAAAGGGTTGAATCATTACGTTTCAAGGATGACATTTCACCTACAACTACAACTACAACATAAATTTATAGTGCTTTCAGCATCGAGCTCCCAAAGGAAGTTGATTCCTATTTGATGCCACGTAGGCAACATAATCCTAAATTAGTCAAAATGGAATTTGTCATAATATTATCAATTTGTCGTCTTTAACACTTTAACCACATCGCAGAGAAGACGACGGCTCACCATTTAGTGACCGACGCCGTTCACATGGGAATTGTCACACCTGTCCTCTGCACTGCCACCAAAAATTCAAGACCCAGATCCACATGACATGCACCACAATCAAATTTGAAGATTGAAACCTTCCTTTCTCCGGATATTATTTTTATATATTTAAATTTTGGAATTATTGAAATGGATTGAAGTAAATTTTAGATAAATAACTATATAAATTGATTTGAAGTGTATACATATACGGTTAGTTTTATTAATCAACCGTTATATTCACATAATTTTATATGAAATTTAATTTTAATATTATAAAAATCTAAATAATATAGGTTAGTTTTATTAATCAACCGTTATATTACATAATTTTTATCAATGAAAATTTAATTTTATTTATAAAAATCTAAATATATACGATAAATTAATAATTAATATTTAATATTAAAAATAAAAATGTAGTAATAAATATATTAAAAAATAAAAATGAGTATAAATAACAAGAAAAATAAGTAATAACATAAAAAATTGAACGGATACGAATAACAAGTATAGTTAATATGTAAAAAATAGTAATAATTTTAAGTATGAAAAAAAAAATATAATTATAGCTAACTCATAACAACTAATAAAAATATGCATAGCAAAATTCCTCCGAATTAATGATTATTTTTAGAATTAATAAAAAAAATAATATTCACTGTTAAAAAATCAATTATATGCTTAATTAATATACGTATTATCAATTCTTGCCCTCCTAGATGTGTTCTTAGGTGCCTAATACACCCACTTGTACTTCCTTCACCTCAACCTCCATCTCCACCAAATTCACGAAAAACCATTTACACTAAAAATACCCAAAATCAAATCCAAATCCAATGCCAAAGCCAACAATTCTGCACTATTGGTTGTGCTACTTCTAAGTGCTGCGATCTCATCTCTAAAGATAACTATGGTAAGTATATTTTCTCTTTTTTTTTTTTTTATTTGTATCTTTTTTTTCTTAAAATATAATAATCAAACTCATTATTAATTTGCTTTTTTTTTTTTTTTCTAAGTTCTGGATGAAGTGGCAGCATGCGCTACTAATTGTTCAAAAGGATGCTAAAAGAATTAAGCACCTTCAAATTGATTATATGACCTTTAATCTTATTTTCCTTTGGATTTTGATTTCAGTTTTATATTACTTTCTATGTAATAGTGTTACAAACATATTTTTAATTTGGAAGAATTAATAAAGAGTGTAGTTGTTTACTCTTTCAAATTCATTTATCTAGTTCAAAAAATGATGTTCTATATTAGCACGTGATGTAATACATTTAAGTATTATAAATTGTTATAGTATGCCCTTTTAATTAATTTATTAAATAATATATAATTTTGACTGTACATAACCATTAATGGGCTCCTAAATGGATTCCTGCGGTTTTCTGGCCTTGTTAAGAAGTGTCAAACTCTTATGAGTCAGGAGTCACACGTTAAACTTGTCAAGGTTTTTGGCGAAGCAAACTCAGTAATGGATTGCTTGAATCAACTGCAAGGGATGAGCCTTGGGGGTTAAGTATCTTTCAGGAGCCTACAACTATGGCAGGTATTTACCTGGATGCTAATTGGTGGGGCAATTTGGCCTTGTGCTATTGTTTAAGGGCTTACTACCCTCCATTGAAGGTAAAAAAAGTGCATTTTAGCAAATGTCATTTTTGAGGTTTCACTTTTAAGTAAATGTTAGAAAATAATATTTGTTAACAAACAAACAGTTTCGATCAAAATAAAACAAATAACACCCAAACTAACCTCCCAAATTATAAACGACAACCTTTTAAACTAACGGCGGCGTGAACCCGAAAAACTAATCGACACACTTCAATCCAAAAGAAAACAACCGACGACATAACAAACTTCCCATATCTATAACCGCTTTGATCACCATGCCGAAAATCCATCTACAAAAACCTCACATATCCTGCAATCTTGAATTCGAATTTGCAATATCTACAACTGCCATTAACCCAATTTATAAGAGAAAACCCTAGTTATGTAATAAATATCTTAATAACCACTGTATCCCCCTAATCTCTCTAACTACCCCAAATAGTGGGGCAATATCTTCCACTATGTGATTTCCCTTAACCGCCCAACTTTATTATAAATAGAGCAGCTTATCAACCTAATAGGACACAAACAATTCATACAACAACTTTTAATATTCACACAACGATAGTGATTTTCGCAAGTGTACGAAATCGCAATAAGTAATATAGAGTGAGAAGAGTATCGTATCCACAGGGATTGTATACCAAGTACCAAAATTATGTTAACCTATTATTATTTAAACGGCAATAAGAATTAACCCTATTCATTATAAACGCAATAAGAAGAATTATAATTTTAAGAACCAAACTTCAGTGAATAAAGGAGAATAAAAAGAGAATCCAAGCAAGACAATTTTTGATTAAAAGAATTCAAGGATTTAAAGCTACTAGGGATTTTTGACTTTACTTAATTCTATCTATTTATTTTATTAGTCTCGTTAATCAAATTTAATTGTCAAAGTAGGGGAAGAAACACATCCTTAAAATCACTAAACAAGCTTTTCCTGATGGTTTTTGTTAGCTATTTTAATCCGGTTAGCTATTTTAATCCGGTCTAATTACCTATCTTCCAATAGCGCAATCAAAAATGAATTAAATCATTAAGTTTTATGGTTTATTTTGTGAATTCATAACGTAAGCTCATTAACTTATGAAAACCCCTCATGAATAAAACCATATAGCTTCCGCATCAAGTTATTATTCTCATGCAATTTATTATCTTTTTCATATCAAAAACCCTTCTCCCGATAGTGATTAATATAATAAATCAATCCAGGGGAGAAACTCTGCCTAGAAGCATTAAGTTCAATACTAAATTATACTTTGAACAAAGAAAAATAAATCTAATATTATAAATTGGAAAAGAAATTAAGCTACATCAAATCCCTATGCAGAGTGTTAGTTCGACATAGTAATTAAATTTAAAAAACTCAATAATACTTGATTATAAAACTCAATAATACTTGATAAAAATTCCATAATCAATCAGAATAATGAAAGAATAAAACAATATTAAGAGTTTAGAGATAAAAACTAGTCAACAGGTAATTCTGGACGGCTTCCTTGAATCTTGGCACAAATCTTGACCACTTGAAGTCTTGGAGAGAGAGAAGAACACTAGAACAAAAATTATTAAAATTCGAGATGCCTCTACAATGAATGGCTCCTCTCTTTATGTAGAATTCCTAGGAGAAAATCCGACTTCATTTAGGAAATAGAATCCTCATTAAGTAAGAAATCTTTTTGGAGATAGGAAACTCTTTAGGCTTTAGATTTCTTCTCAATTAGGACTCTTCTATCTACCTAAATAGGATTAGATATTGATTTGTACGTCAAGAAAGTATCTGAGGTGGGCCCCTGCAAGTGATAGAGACTGGCTGGCGTTCTCGACTTAAGACAACACTTAATTCGTAGCATGGGCGTGCTGTGCAGCACGGTCAGGGTGTGCCAGAGCCTGAGTTCTAAGAATGGCTCAGCATGGGCCGTGCTCAGCGGCACGTTTAGTGAAGAATATGTGGCATGGGTGTGCTCTGCTCTGAGTCTCCAGGATGAAATGCAGCACTGGCGTGCTTTGGCAAACACGCCTTTGTGTTGATGTCCTCTTTTGGCACGGGCGTACCATATAGTATGGCTTGGGCGTGCTAGAGTCTGAATCTCCACTTGATTTTCCCTGAGTCTAGCATGGGCGTGCTGATGTGCACGGGCAAGGCGTGCTAGAGCTGGAGTGTTTTTTGCTTTATTTTGCTCTTTTCTGTGCCAAAACCCTATAAATTTGCCTAAGATCAAGTAGATTATGATTCAAGGAAGCTTTATACAAAAACATAAATAAAACAGGGAATAAAAACTAAATAAGTAATAAAAATGCT